AACTGTTGCCCAAGAATGTCTCACAAAATCAAAACGATGCCGCTGATACGTTTTCAGTGCCTTGTCAGTTTTCTTGTCGGGTAACGCAATTCTTCGACAACCTTTGAAAATAAATAGTTACTTAATTAACGCCTTGACTGAACTATTTGGACTTGGAAATGGATTTCTGCGCCGATTTCTATTATATCTTCTTAATTTTATTAAGATTCGCAAAACATAATAACGTCGAGAAAGTAATCCATGTCATACAATCTTTAACTTTTCAATTTTACCATCATTAAGAAAAATTTGTCCGGTTTAAGAAAAATATTTCATACCAGCAAGTTAGGCTACTCTCCGATTTTGCAGAATTTGTTGGCAATCATTTTCTAGCATTCAAAGTGTTAATGAAACTGCAACTAGAGAAACCAGAATTCGTTTTATGTATCGTGTCTTGAATTCTTCAACGGCTAATAAGTAGGCTGCGGATTTTTATGCGAAATAAAAATGTTCCGCAATTGTTGCAAGCACCAAGAGTCGCTTAGGAACTTCTTCCTTTCTTGAATAATTATGCAACGCATCGATACTCTTTAATCCTTTTGCTCTTTCTTCTCGTTCGAATTTCCGATACCCATTTTTCTGACAAATTCCATAAAATCCGCACAGTCTACTGATATGACTTGGCAAAAATCGTTTCGAAGCATTTGTTTAAAACATTCGTTTCTTGCGGCAGAATTTCATGGGAGATTGCCTTAATTAAAGTAAAACCTACACGTGATCGTACGGGATCGAGTGCTCTTCTTTGGTGAACGAAAAAAGGGGGACCGCGTTTCATGCGGCCGCAGCTTTAACGAGTATCGCTTGACACCTTGAAATCGCTTCGTGATGGAATTTTAGTATCCGCGAACTTTACAAACGCCATATACGTAGGGTCGAGTTTTTCGTGAGGCACGACGCCATAATAACTTTGCGCCGTCGATTTTCCCGGTGTTTGCGCGGACGCTGGGCAAAAATACTCCGGTCGTTTTCTTGCGGGATGCGAGCCCGTACGCACAACATTCCCGGCTTCTTCTTCTGGTTTCGAGTTTTCACCGGTTCCATCTGCGATCGACTGAACTTCGTTACTTTCGATTCTCTTCCTCCCAATTTCACGTTCCCCGCGCTACCCGAATGATACGTATTTAGGCTCGCTCCTTCCTCCTTTGGACGGTATAATTAATAGGATTACCGTGGATTATTTTGCGCATTAGAAAGCTCGGATACAACGCATTAAATGCAAGACAAAAAAATTTAGCGGTGCCGTTCCATTAGTTTCAGCTGATCGAAAATGCTGAGAATGAAAATGGATTTTTATTTAATTATCCACAGTCCAGTGAGTAGCTTAACTTAGAATTTTCTAACCATTTGAACCAGCGTTACATTGAATTTAAAAATGTTTTTGCTTGGTCTCTGCGACGCTGTTTCTAAGAGAGAAGAACGTCACATGTTTAATAGCTTATTAAATAATATATAAAAATAGAAATAGTTTACTAAAAGTTTTAAACTCTTTTTCCTTGTATGTATTTGCGACACCGTTTTCTGAGAACGTGTAAGTTAATTTCAACATATTGTCTTTGGAACCAGTGTTACGTTGAATTTTAAAATTCTTAACTTAATATTTAGGACAGTGTTTCTAGAATACAGATGTTTAATTTCAAGCTTGATCTGTTGGGATCGGTATCAAAAATTTTTGTACTTCTTTTCACAAATACAAATTTGTGACACTATTTTCCGAGGATATCAAAGTTAATTCTCTAAGCTTATCTCCGTTAATCAGTGCCAAATTTAATTTCCTGAATTATGTACAATGCAAACTTCTGAGATCGTGAAATTGAATTTCAATTATTTCCTAATAACATTTAGAATGCAATTTACTAAAAGAGTGTGAACTTGACGAAGTAACCGAAATAGTGTTCCTATCAACGATAATTAATTTCCATCGCCAGTGACGTGCGTTTATGAACAACGAGCAAAGAATTTTGGGAGATAATAATAATTATTATCCGATAAAGCTTTTGGAATAGATACAGAGAAAATATGCACAAGCTTCGCGCAGAACCATTCCGCGAATTCGATATCGAGAAATAGAAATAATTTTTGCGGTGTTTTAAGAACCTCCGTCATTTACGCGTTTAGCTTCGACGAATAAATAATTGTTTGAATTCAAATGAAAGAATTTAACCCTTTGCACTCGCGTGGTGACTCTAAGGCACCACTAAAATTTGTTACGTCACGTTCTAAGGTAATTTTTGTATTAATAAAGTATAGATTTAAAAAATTGTTGTGAGTGTAACTGTTGTTTAAAAACACAACTTCGTATGCATAAAATACATTTTGCCATATAAAATGAAAATGAAAAATAGCTTCGAGCGCAAAGGGTTAATCCGTTTTTCTCGATGAATAGAAAATTAATTATGCTCGAAAATAAAAACCAGAGGCGTGTACAATTAGCTAGGCCACGGTAACTGGCTCCAATAGCCTACACCAAGTCCGTCGCTCGCTTTCGCGACGAATCAATCAGCCGGGTCGGGCCTTGAGGGCGCCTTAGAAGCAAAGGAAAGAATATTCCGTCGATACGAGGGTCCGTGTACCGCGTAACGTGTAATAGTTACATCAGATTAGGGTAGCCGGTAGCGAGCGTGTAACCAGGCTTAATGCGTGGGTAGGCATCGAGTCGGTCGCGAGGGTGTAGGGGTGGGTCCCGTGCCCATTGCACGTAGCGAACACCTGAAATTGTGGTACGCAGCGACCAACACAGCCACCAACACAGCCTCGTGGCCATTTGCCGGTGGCCGGTGGTCGGTAGAGAGAGAGAAAGAGAGAAAGAGAGAGTGAGAAGAGAGAGAGAGAGAGAGGCCTCGACACGAACCCGAGCAAGGGTAACGAGGAGAAGGGGCGGCCGGGGTTAGGGGCGGTTTGGTAATCGCGCATTAATTTGCATCACAAAGTACACGCCACCCGCCACGCTACGCACGCATTCCACGTAGTTTTCCGCTCCCGCTCGATCTCGCCACGGAGTTCTCAAGCCGAAGCCGACACACCCACCCGTTTACTCGTCGCAAGGCCGCAACCTTTTCCGCCGCGGCTCCTTCGGGAGGATAGAATCCGTCATTACGTCGGGCCGCCGTTTGCAATTTCCGAAAATTATTTCTCGCTACAGCTTGCGTTTTTCGCCGATCCCATAGCGAGAGGAAAGCCCGCCGATTCTAGGAAAACGGTGCGCCGCAACGAGTTGCTTCGATTCGCGGGGGGGCGATCGCGTTACGTGTTTATCAAGCCTTTGCACCTCGCAGCTGTTTCAACGTTGAATCGAACACATTTGTTCTGACCTACGGTATTTCCATTTCATACGATTTGTTGCGTACCATGCATAGAAAATATTGATTCACGCGATGTCTACGCTTTTAACACTTCCACGACCGCGCTAGAAAGCTCAAAAATTTTCATAAAATTAAAATATTTCATTCGATTAAAGAAAAATTATAAAGCAAACTTATGTGGCATCGATTACTTCTTCAGCATTCGTACCTCTTGTAGATCTTAATAAAATTAAGCAATCATTTTCAATTTTTCATTGATCATCCATTCGGTCGTTAATCGACTGAATTTAAAACGGGGAGATCTCCTCGTTCGGTTGGCTAAGTGTTAACAGGAAGTGTAAAAGAATTTGGTAACAACGGAATTATTACTTTGGAACGTGGTGTCGCAGTTTTTAGTGATGTCTTAGAGTCTATGGTGACTTCGGACCCACGGTATTTCCATTTTACATAATTCATTGCAGCTTGTCAGTGTAAGAGGTATTCGTACACTGAATTTTAAATACTTGACAAATTTTTGATATTCGAACTTTTTTTCACGTTCCTTTCAATCTAATTCTTAGAACGTGCAACAAATAAAGGTGAAACGCGATTTCATTTCCGGAAAATCAAAAACTCGCCCGCGATTACAGGATTAAGCTGCGATCATCTTCGTGCACTTACGGTGTATGTATTCTATGCAGGATGGAAGAAGGACGTGCATATTAATCGAAGATACTGTTATTATTCAGAGAATTCTACGATCTATCGATTAAAATATGTTCGCAGTAATTTCCTTGATTTCGTTTCTTTCGTTATATTTTACAAAATATTTGGAACGCTAATTCCACGGTTGTCCGCTGTTGGACAAAGTCGTCCAATAAACAAGCGCATCCATTTCGCGAACGCCGGTTTCGCGAGGGCTGGAATTAAGCGAAGAAAATGTTACCGATCATGAAAAGCTTGCAATTACTCCGACGTCCACGGATATTTGTTTTCTGCGGTGTCGATTAACATGGAAACAGCCCACGTCGTCCCTATATAGAATGATCCAATAATTATTGTTCGGGAGCACAGCCCGCCGTATCTCATGAATAATTCCCTTCCGATCACGCTAAATGAATTTATCGGCAGGTCTTCGACAACTCGTTTCACTCGGATAATTGCGCGGGAGTTATGCACGCCCCCGTGATTTTCGTTAGACGCCCGTTGATAACTCATTCGACGGGTCCGATGAGAATCGTGGCTGGATGGGACCGATCGCGTGAACAAAACCGGGTGGTATCGATCATGGCGGAGACGCGAGGGTGATTAACAACAACTGGCCGAGCGAGCGAGCGAGCGAGCGAGAAATCGGCCGCGCGTTATTTTTCGCGGAATGAGAGTCACGGTGTTCGGTGCCGGGTAATATTTTGCCCGCGTGGTACGGTTGCATATTTAAGGGTTGCCATGTCAAGCGTCAAGCGCGCCCTTTGAATACATTTAAATTCATTAACAGTAAAGCCTGTGTTCCCGTAAACTGCGGCGCACACATGCGAGGCCGCGTGTACACCGACGAAATATGGGCATCGTTATGCTCTAAACACCGACGGCAGCCGCAAAATAATTGCGTGTGCGGTTTCAGAATCGACCGACGATTTTCGCAATGATCTAGGTTGGTTAATGAGCCGTCCCTTTCTGTTCCAGGTTATCGGGGAAATCCTTGGATCAATATGCCGCATACAGGTGAGTTCGCACGGTTATGGATTAACGAACGCGCCGCGCGCGAACCGTTTCAAACTTCTCCTTAAGTCCTGTCGCTATTCTCACCTCCGCCATTTTCACGTACACGTCCTACGGTGCTGCACGTTACCCTGTCGTCGTCGTTGTCGTCGTCGTCTATTATTTTCAAACGGCTCGACGAAACTTTTACTGCGATATTTGCTACAGTATTATCGTTAAACAAGTAAGCCGATTTTCACGAGTATACTCGTCGCGAAGAAATGCTAATATTTTGTGTTCCGACGAGTATGATTTAATTTATTCATATATATACGGGTAAACACCCATTTTTACAATAACATCACTAAGTCATTTTATAAACACTCGTTTTAAATTTTGTAACGTTAGCTGCAAGTACGTTATATCGAAACGATCTCGCCATGCGTGAAAATTTGCTGTTTAAATTACAATTTTAGTTGCAATTAAAATATATTCGTAAATAAGATGATTTGAATGTTTGAATACCAGCACGAAATAAGACGAGCAAATAAAGAAATATAAACAATTCTACTCGTCATCGCTTACATTTTCCGACGAATATCAGGCACACACTTTTCAAAGAGATCGCGACACTCGGAAGATTTATTCTGACGTTTACCTACCAGCGAGCTCGAAGCAAATCTTGCAAAAGCTGTGATTTTTCTGTACAAAGGTTGAATCGGAATAGAAATCATTGCGCTGTGAAATTTTACAAGGATTAACGAATAAAAGGTTTTATTTATTTTACATAATTACCTTCAAAAATAAAATCCGGATCGTGTCGGTCGTCGTTAAGCGTGCAAAGTGTGAAATAATTAGCGGCTAGTCGAAATGAATCTCACGCTGGCTTATCTGCGGGCTTGAGGTCGGTCCGGTGTTCGAATGATTTCCCAAAGACGAGCCATTAGAACAGCTCGTCCGTGTAAATAGGATACGACTGCGGCTATAATCGAGCAGAGATATTAGCGGCACTAATACGGCACTGTTCGCCGATAGTTCAACGAGTATCCCGGCTTTTTGATTTACGCAACGGCGCGGCTCGTCGTTATCGTTTCTCGAACGTTTAACACGAGGTCAGCTACCGTCGGCGAGATCAGAAGACGAGTCGTTCCGTGCAATCGACAGTAAAAATTAAAATCACTCCGGTCTCCTTTTTCTCCCTCCTTTCCTCGGCGAGTCTCTCTCCCTCTTTTCCCTTATATTTCTTTGCCTCTCCTTCCCATCTCTCTCTCTCTCTCTCTCTCCCGTTCTCCGTCGATCCTTTTCGTTCTATCCGCGCCACGAACTCGTATTTTCCCTCCTTCTTCGTGAGCGTATCCGTTCCCGAGCGATTGGCTCGAGGCATCAGGTAAATTACGATTTGGAAGTCAGTTTGACAGTAATTAACGAAGAATTTTATACGGCGGATCGAGAGCCCAAGATCTATAGACCTGTTATTAAACGACTTTAATTACATCGCACTGTCCTCTTCCCTTTCGCCGCGCCTCGCTCCTATCATGCCCTGCCTCCGTTCTCCGTTTTCCCTCGCCTAATGTCCGCCTGTAGCACAATGTGCCGAACGATGATTGCCGGTCGATGGTCGTTCGACTATACGCTCGGAAATACTTGACCCGTTACGCTCAGAGCTTTGACTCTTAAATGAACAACCGATGATCGCTCTCTTTTTTTTTTATTAATGCAACCAGGAAGCTTCGTGGAAAACGAATGTTTTCACAATCCTATAATTGCAAGAAACGGAAAATAGACGGACGGACGTGTATTTCTTAATATTCTCGTTCGCATTTCAAATATAATCGCGTACATTACTGTAGTATTTTTCTTCGGCCGTTCTTGCTGTATATCTGAAACCAATAATGGTTCGTTCGTGATGTCGCGCGTTAATGAGATACAACCTTCGACAGATCGTGAACTCGTTCGTGGTGTTACATTCTAAAGAAATACATACCTCAACGAAATCGTACGTTCATTTGTGGTTTGTTACATTTCAAAGAAATACATACGTACACACTCTTCAACAGATTGTAAATTCGTCTCTCCGATGTTACATTTTTCGAAAATACACGTCTCGACAAATCGTGTTTCATTTGTAGCGCGCAGCCTTTTAAGGAAATATATCGTTCAACTCAAACAAGGAGGAATAAAACAGTCATTGTGACTAATAAATCCTTATTCGTAAATTCTTTCAATTTTTCTTGAAATTCTAACCAATTCATTTTTGTTACAAATTCGCGAAATCCACGATCCACTTATTACAGTTCGGATAAAAATGTCCGGAGAAAATAAAGACAAATTATTTTCCGATGAACAGTGTGCTTCTACTGATCTATTTTTAATACCCTGATGTACAAAAACAGTCATATGGCCAACTGCAAAAATTCTATATACATATATATATTCTCCTGGAAGAAATTTGTTGAAATTAATGAAATCGTTTTAAAAACTTTGAAATGCATATCTCTATACGAGATATTTTCTAAAGGAAAGTAAACCGAATATAAAACGACGAGGACAAGCCGCTAATTAAAATCCTGATGAAGCCTAAGAATCGAAAGTGATCCAGCGACAATAGTTCCAGAATTACTGGAGTTCCATTTCTCTTCCATCAACCAATCAGACGCTGAGATGCCGTCTGTTTTTACAGCAGAATCTCTGGATCCGATCGAACAGCGATAAATATTTATCGCGACAGTTGGAAGCCTCCGTCGATCGAGCCTCGCGTCCAACCACCTTGAAATCCATAAAACTCTGAAATAACCAGAAAATTCCATCCATTAACACGGCCAATTGGCTGTGAAACCGAGACACACCTTGGGACACCTGTGCCGAAAGTGTAAATATCGATTTCAGGTTTGAATTGCGCGTACGGGTGCGATTCGTGATCGATTCCGGTTGCATCGCGTGTCCTTTGTGCATCGGCAGGGAGAAAGGACGAGCGGCAGGGTGGGAAACAAAAATCTGTTAGCGTAGACGTGGCCGTGATTACGGGTAGGCAGGTGTATAGTTTGGTTAGGGCCTAAATGGCAAACCTGATAGCGATCACCGTTCGCTCGCATTAGTTCGCTAATTCTAAGCTGACCATTATTATGTGGCCGGAGATACACCCTTGCCGGCCTGCCCTAACCTCTTTCTTTATCTTCGAAATTTGATGGGCCACGTGTCGGTATGCAACGCCAGAACAGACCAGGGTAAAAGTATTTGATAAATTATTCAAAATAATGAATTAATAAATAATATTTAAAGATTTATTCGACGTCACAGTGACAAGCGCATGTATCGAAGATAGTTATTTACGTTGTGGTGAAGGAAATTATTAATCGAAGATCTTCTGGATATAATTATTTAAAGTAGCATTTCATGCGTCCAAATTTCTACAAATTATTCGAAATTCCATTTCTTACACGATTAATACATATTTATGAGAGAAAATGAACCTATATAAAAAAAAGTACAAACACGGATTGTTTTGAAAAGTGAACATTTCCTTAATATTTTTCTTAATTAATGCATGTAATTGGAGCATTTAACACCTATTAAATGTTTTTCAGGTTCGTATTATACAAGTATATTTGTAAAATAATCGATAGATTAGTATATCATCCGATACAGAAATAAATGACAGTTTCAAATGTAGCATATAGAGCACAATTGAGAAGAAATATTATTCGCGAATATTTATATTTCTTAGCTGAAATATTTTTACCCAGGCCTGCGCTAGAAACGAACGTTCGCCATTTCTGCTTTGTTTAGCGAATTTACTTTCCCTCTGACCTCTTTGGTGCACGAGAAATTATGTCCTGCGCGCTGATCAACATTAATTGCCAGATACAAGGCACCGAAATGACCCGTCTGAAATTTATTTTAGAATTTATGATCCTAGATGTCGTAAGTGAATTTAGCTATTTACGCTCGCATCTGTAATTAAAGTCGCATTAGATCTCAAGAACTATACCATAATTATATTTGCTGAATGTTAGCGTTGTGTGTCAGGAAATATTAGCACTGGAATTACAGAGTAGTTAAAGTCCATTTCGAACTTTCCGCAATAATTACAAATGCAATTGAATCCGCATTGACCTCTACACTTATTAATCTCTCCGCGTGCAAACAGAAACGTTTTCCAATAGGAAAACTCGTAATATCGGCAAATAATACGAGGAACTTTGTTGATGTTATTTTTCCTCTTTGCTCGATATAGCTCGTTAAAAAGAATCACATTTATAGCTTGTCCGTCGCAAAGAAGAAGAAAAGTTCGAAGGCCAAACCCGTCGAATCCTTCAAAACGATCGCCAATTTTACGAAAATAGGATTTACGAGGCGCCATTCGACAACCTCGGCGATGCGACGCTGCGACACGAAACTCCGGAGAATTACTTGATAAGAATGAACGAAAGCCCAATCAGACGTTAACACGATTACCATAAATTACAATTAAAACGTCGTTAATTTTGTTAAGAACGCACTATAATGAATCCGACGTCGCGGATCCACCAAGTTCCAAGTCGGTAACGGAATAATCAAACTGACCTCGCCACGACCCGTTCGCGACGACTTCAAAATTAATTTTTTTCCATCTATAATTACCGAATATTCGACGTTTCGACGTATTTAATGATCACTTTGCATCGTTTTTGCTGCTGAAAACTATCTTTCCGAGAATTCTGGGTAAGTTCTTACGGTTTCGCCGTTCTACAGCTCTTAGGAGTTCTATAATTACGGAAACACGGATAGTTCTTGAAAGAAAGGACAGTTTCTCAATATTATTTGACAACTCACGAACACACAACAATTTCTATTTTTGCTGCAACGCGTCAACAGCATTTTTGCTATCCTACTTTTTAAGTCACCTCGCACAGTTTTTTCATTGTGAAAAATCCTCTGTCTATAATAATTTTTAAAAAGTCGTCTGTCATTCGATATGATCCTACTCGAACATATTTCCTATTACCGCAGTGACGACAATAAGAAAATGCATCGCGTTTTTGAAC